GCTTTGAGAGGAAACACCATTGAAGGTTTTATCAAACCTATACCAACAACGGTCAACTAGATGACCAATTTTACTACACAGCTGACACTGAAGTCTAGAGCGACCTCGACCGCGACCAGGATTAATGTTTTGAGTTCTACCATAGCTTCTGAAAGTGGAATTTGTATCCAGTTGATCATCATTCGTGGACTGAAGGGAAACACGAGCAAGATTAGCACTCATATGAACAGTATCATAATGATCAAATTTTTTTTGTTGAGTTTCAGCATCGATCAAAACTGAAACGACTCATTCAAGGGTAAATGGTTCTCGGCTGGCAGTGATGACTGCAATGAATGGACGGTATTCTGGTGGAAGACCGTTAAGGAGAGTGGCAATCTTCTCAAATTCAGAAATGGGACTTCCACAAGCAGCTAAAGCATCAGTGACTTCTTTAACTTGAGAAATGTAAGCTCGCATTCCCAGATCGCCTTTCTTGATTGTCTTTAGCTTGTAATGGAGATTCATAAGCGTGGTGGTAGACTTGCTGGCAAAGAATCGATTCACAGTTTGCCAAACATTAGCGGCAGTCTCAGCTCCAACAAGTTGAGGAAGTAAGGAAGGGCTGATGGTGGAGAGCAACCAGGACGCCAAGGCACTGTCTTGAGCTATGAACACTTCATATTCTTCATTCTCAACTTCCTGTTCATCATCCCCAAGAATCGTAGCAGGTGGAGGCTGGAGAGCACCGGTGAGAAGCTTCTCAAGCCTATGACTCCTTGCTGCTAAGAGAACCTGCTGCTTCCAGAGTAAAAAATTGAATTCGTCAAGAACAATGCTAATCTTTTTGTTGGTAAAGACCTTACCACCGAGAGACTCAGAGGAGCCACCGGTGGAATCAGCAGAAGGAGTGGCCATAAGGAAAACAACTAAATTCCCACAGATTCCCGGGCACAAGCGACTGATACCATGTTAACAAACTTAATATAACAGTAAAACAAAAATGAAAAACAGAAATGTATTTCCTTCATGCCTTCCTGCAATACTACAATATGCTATTTATAAGACTCCACATACAATCATCATTCTAGACTAATCTAACAAACTGACAGCTCAATGATGACAGCTCATCAATACTAACAACATATGAATAACAACCTTCCCCTAATTTCATGGAACGTAGGTGACTCATCTAGGTGATTCATCTTCATTGTTATTCATAGCTGCAACAAAGAACGAACCTGATAAAGACTTCCTTACTACCTTATGAAAGGGCTTGAATATACCAGCCCCGTACTCGGCTGTGAAATTTGTCCTGAAGATACGCAAAGGCCTTTTTCTTATTTCTTCCCACAATGATGGTAAACCCAAATATTTCTCCGGGTTAGAGACGTTCGAGATTCTCAAAACACACCATTCATCTGTGCGATTATCATCAATAACAGTCGAACTAAAAAATAGACTAGATTCATCAAAATTAATTTCTTAACACGAGTACTCTCCATATAGCTGAAGGATCTATTTTATCTGGATTGCCACACTAGCCATTGCATCCCGAAGATAGAAAAGAGGAGTGAAATCGATGGAGGACATGTATTTATCCGAATACCATGCAAGACTCCCGCATCAATGGATGAGCAAACCAAAGAAGAAAGTCATTCGCTGCAAATCAAAAACAAATACGAGCTAAGAGAATCGCCTTATCTTAGTCCTCTTTGGGGAGTAAACGAAGTACCTGTCACACCATTAATGACAACCGAGTAAAAAACTGAACAAATGCAATATTTTATCAATTGGATCCATTTAGCCGAAAACCCATTTTCTCCATTACTTCCCACACAAAACTCCATTCCACTCTATCATACCCATTTTATCAATTGGATTTTCTTATTGAGTGGAATAACATTAGAAGTAAATAAATTCTAAAAATAACTTCTGGCAACTACCTCTAGATCCACAACAGTGTCAACAACCGAACCATCATCAGATTCTAACTCCAAGATTTTATTTTTTCGTTGTCTATTGGAAGCGAAGTGATAAAAAAGGCGGTGTTATTGTGCTTTAACAGTTTGCACGAGCCCTTTGTTCGTAATTATTGAATTAAGATTTTGATATAATAATAATTTGTAAAATTAATTTTGGACTTAATCAAATTTGTCAAAAATTTATCAAAAATAATCCAAAGTCTAAACTAAATTGAAAAAAATATGTTTTAAAATGTTTTTTAATTTAGTCAAACATTTTCAAAAACATACTCGATCGTTTCCAAGTCGAGTTTCCAAGCATTTTTGGTTCAAAGGATTGATCCCTTAACAAAATGATCAATCCCCTTGAAAAAGGATCAATCCCCTTGAAAAAGGATGGATCCCTTAGATTCCAGTAGGTTTTGGATCGATCCTTTCACAAAAGGATCGATCCCTCGAGGAAAAGGGTCGGTCCCTTCATAAAAAGATTGACCCCTCGACCAAAAGTATCAATACCTTCCCTAGAGGATCTATCATTTTCTTGCAATGGTCGAATTATTTAAAAAATGATCGATCTCTTTCACTAAATGATTGATCTCTTGTGCCTTAAATGTTGTTTTTGATTGTAGGTAACAACTATAATGATCCCCAATGACTAGAATTGATAGAGAAGGTATAAATTGAAAATCAAAACATCCTAAGGTGAGCAAGAACCATATTGATCAAATATACCAATATCAAAGAAGTGTTTTGTGCTTTAATTTTCAATATTTTCATTATAACACATTCGTGAACTACATTGTTTATTTTGGTCAAGTGTGAATTGAGTGAGTGTTTAATTATTACAAACACATTTGTCTTGTGAGATTTTCTTTTTGTTTGCTTTATTTGTAATTCCTATTGTGGAAAGAGTGTAAACAAGGTTTCGGAGTATAAACTTTGTAAATGGTTGTAAGGTTACACCTTATTCTCAAAGGTTAGCAAGTTTAGTGATTTGAAAAATCTTTAGTGTGGATGCTAAGGTAGTGGATGTGAACTTGGTTAAGAAGTCAAACAATTATAAATTTCTCGTGCAAAAGTTTTAATTTCAATTGCTTCTGCCACAAAATTTTTAAAGGCTAATTCACTCTCTCTTGGCATATTTCGGTTGATCGATAAAGCTAACACCAATACAACTTTGATTTATCCTTCTCAAAGTTGAGTTGCAACTTTGTGTCAATGATTTTTCCCAAAACCTCATCGGTCGACTGTAATTCCACTAAATTCGCCAGCTACTTTTTTAATTCCGTAACAGAAAAATGCTTTGTCCTACAAATGTCTTTAAACCACTCATCAAGTCAATGACTAACATAATTAAGTTTGTCTGGAAGTAATCCTGTCGATTCATTCCATAACCGTTGCACTTTTGAGCTTTCCAGCAACCATGAAGCTTCAAATCTGAAATGCCACCGACGAACAATTGTATAGTGAAAAGACGTGTACAAAAGCAACGGGCAATGGTCGAAAAACGCACGAGTAAGGTGCTTCAAAGAGCAATGTGGTAATAAAGATTTCCACGAACTGTTTGTTAAACCCAGATCAAGCCATTCTCTTATATTATTTGCTGTAATACGACCTCGTTCCCAAGTAAACCAAGTGCCCGTATAACCAATATCCATCAAACTACAGTTATCAATCACCTCTCGGAGAATAGCCATCTGACGCTCATTACACACAAGTCCACCTTTTTCTAAAGAAAATAGAATTTCATTAAAATCACCAATTATTAATCAAGGGACATTCGGACTATTATCAAACTGTCAAAGAAGGTCCCACGACTCCCAACGACAATTCTCCTTCGGTGCACCATAGAACCCAGTACACCGCCACTGCATTCCATTCTCACCTGTTACAATTAAAACATAAATCTGCGAACAAGAATATGATCTCAACATTACATCACTCGTTTGCTTCCATGCGAAACAAAGACGACCTCTTGATCCTTACGTGCCAACCTCTATTCCATGCATAAACCACATGACTTACGGTCTTTCTCCATACGCGACTTTGTTTCTATAAAGAAAACAATGGAAGGATTTGTCTCTCAACGTTTGGCGGAGACAACGAACGGTCCAGGTCATCCCCAACCCCCGGACATTCCATCTTAAGAGTTTTATTGTGACCGGCTTGCTTGAGAACACATGCCTGCTGATATAACATCATTTCCAGATTCAGGTACCCCAACAACAGACGTAACAACTGGAACACTTCTCTATCTCTTTGCATTTTCTGCCCTTTGAATAGGATTCTCCTTATCTGCTACAATCATTGTAACATCACTAGAGCCACATTCCCCGATCCCAGTGTTCAAATCGAACGTTCTCACCACCCATACCTTAGTTTTGACTTTCGCATCTGGAATCAATGAGGAAACTGGGATTGCATTGTTCGCCTTTGACGTCAATGTCTCTCCTCCTACACACTCATCACGTAACCAAGGACTTTACAAAAACCCCTTCCTTCAGAGGAGAGGCCCTAATTATCCTATCGAAACACCAAATCTATCTTCTACTGCAAGACCCTTGGTGGACATAATTTTTTTACCATACACCAAATCTTATGTTAAATTTTTTAAATTTAAAATATTTTTCAATTAAACGAAGATAAAATATAGTACATTTTAGAAGATGAAACGAATTTGATAGAGAACTTTAGATTTCATCACCATTAACCATCACCGACGATAACCAATAGAATAAATCACATCAAACAATGGCCAAAATCCAAGTAGATGAAGAGAAAAGATAAGAACAAAAAGGAAAAGAATTTTTTTATATAGTCCCAATACATCATTATAGTATAAATTCGCTTATTCAAAAGGGCATACTGCCATCTATTATTTCATAACATCATTAACTATTTAAACACATTGAAAATTTAATGATTAAAATAAAAAAATTTAAACCTTAACGATTACAACAAGAGTGAGAATAAAATAAGAGTGACTAGTAAGAAAACGTTGAGTGATAAAATTTGTAACTTATCCCATGCCAATATGTATCAATGCTAGCCAACCCATACCAAACATAGAGCAATTATTATAGAATACTAATATGATTAAATCCATAAACACCTCAAAGTCAGAAAGACAACGAATGTTTTACAGGTGCATTTATGGACGAGTGATTTAAGCTATAAAACCATTGCCAAAATAAAATAAACGTCAAAAATAGGAAAACAAAAGAGCCGGGAAAGTGAGAACAAAATCATAAACCTTGATCCAACTTAAACAAGTTCATATTAATCAAAAAACAGCTCGACAAGAAACTACTTAGACAGGTTCAAATCTAAATTCATGGCTCAAAAGTTCTTCACTGATCTTCCGGAGGCCACCTTACTTCTTGGACTTCTTTGAACCACTGAATAATAAACAGAAGGTAAAAATGCATCATTTGAACACCGATCATTTTCGGAAAATAAATAAAATCTCAGAAATATACTTACCCAACTGGTTGAGCAGCAGCGGCAGCAGGAGGTGCTGCAGCTGGCTTATCTCTTTCTCCAGGCCCCTGAGGAGATTAAGAAAAATAAAATGAAACCCCACATTTTAACATGAGATTAAAAAGAATGAGTATGAATCTATTCAACATAATTGACAATAGCATGCAGATAACGAATCATTAAAAAGTATAAAAAAAGGCAAGGACTACAGAGAACGATAAGAGAACTTCAAAGCAAGGAACACTATGACGATACAAAAATTTTACCTGTGCCAGACGTTCCTCCCTCCTAGCAAATTTTCTTTCCCTGCTTGCCTTATTCTTAGCTCTCTTAGCTTCAAACTGGTCAGCCAAAGTCTTCTCTCTGGCCTTCTCAGCCTTAGATTTGTGGATGCTCTCCATGAGTACTCTCTTGTTCTTAAACACATTACCCTTGACTTTCATGTACATGTCATGGTACATATGCTTGTCAATCTTCTTTGATTCCCTGTACTTACGAAGCAAGCGCCTGAGAACACGCATCCTCCTCATCCACAAGATCTTTGTAGGCAACCTTGCCTCCCTTGTACCCTTGCGCTTACCTAGAATCAGAATATGAGTTGAGACCCAACTAATCAAATTAAATTCAATACATAATTTTACACAATATTCATCACAACTTTAAGATTGCTAGCAAAAGATTCCCACCAGTATAAAAATTTCAATGATACTTTAATTGATTATTTCCTCATGATTTTGGACATCCTAACTCTAAAAACATGATGAGTAGTCAAGAGTATGCTGTGATTTCAACATGGTACTTAATGTGCGAGTATGTAAAGCTGTCTATTTCAATCAAGAATATGCTCTGGTGCCAACATGGAATTAATGTGCAACTGTGCAAGTACGTAACTAGGTCAACAGTTTCAACCGTGTACTCGGCATCTATAAACAACGCTGAGTCCATTTGATCCCATGATCATAATTAGATAACATACCATAACCAGAGTGACGTCCCTTTCTCTTGGCCTCCTTCATGCGACGAGCCCGAGATCGAGAGTGAATCTTGGTTGGCTTCCTGATGATAAAACCATCTTTAACCAACTTCCTTATGTTCTGGCCTGCAGTTTCCGGTTCAAGTACAAAAATGAAGAAAAATAAGAAATTGAAAATATATAGAACCCTTTTGTTTTGCTCAAGTACAAACAAAATACCCCTGATACAACCTTGATTATATTCTCTTATGAGCAGATGATTGTATCACCTTGAACTTACAATCAATCATTTCAGAGTTGTATTATAAATAAATGTACATGTATATCAGTAGAGGGAACTAGGAATTAATCCTTTGTTCAATCAAACTAATTTTCATTTGGAGAATGACTAACGTGAGACTGCTTCGGTGACAGTTATTACTCCCCTGTATACAACGATTACACATAAAAGTAATTCTTTTCTCAGTAATCCATTAAGTTAATTGTTGTATTCACCAGAGAACGTATTTTAGCTAAAAGTGTCATCTTTTTTCCAACAAATATTGCAAACAAATTAAGAATTGCATAATCACAAACTTAGCCTACATATCCTAAGGCTCATATGCGCTTGTTACACGAAACCTTGCCATTAGAAATTACAATTCCAAAGAACGCGATTCAAACTGAGATTTAAATTTCAAACTCCATTCCTGGAAATTGAAGCTTTAGCTTTCATTTTCCTAGTAGCTGATTTTATGTATATATATATATACGTGCTCTGAGCTTCAGTTCCACCATATATTTGGCAACCCGAAACTAAAACAAGATCAAATATATCTAAACATAAAACCTATGATAATGATAATGAAGAAGTGTTAAAACAGTGATAAAGAGAAGACAAATACGTACGGGAGTTGGCCATGGAGATTTCGTTGACTTCATTTGGATCGAGCCAAACCTTTCCTTTTCCACACTTTAGAACGCTGGCTGATAGTCGCTTCTGCAGCTTAAGAGAAACCATTTTCTCCCTATCTTTCTCTTGGGTAGCGGAGAAGGATAAGAAATAAATGATAGCGCCAATTTATATGAGCTCCGCTTTAACCCTAGGGTTTGCAGTCGCCTGGTACTTTTGTTTGGACCGCGTTAGAAGTCGGTTTTTTTAATTGCACTTTTAATGGAACCTGAGACTATGAGCCTAAGCCTAAAACAATTATTTTGTGGGCCTAATTTTAGTTAAGAAATGAACTCATTGGGCTTATCTTGCTGAACTAAATAGTCAATTATTATTTTTATTAATATGTGATAAATACAAGATAATATATGTTTAAAGATAACTCTTAACAATTTGATATTGAACGCTCACATTCTTGACATTCTTAATACTAGAATTCAAAACTTTAAGGAAACAATTCATTTACCATTGATGATTTGACCAACGTTTTTCGTCATTGACAAACGACTCCGTTATTTGTGCTGACGTGACACATTAAGCAGACCACATCATATTTTCTCTCTCAATCTGGCCCTCCAACTCAAGAAAATAACTTAATCTGGCCCACTTTTTTTCTCTTCAATTTTGGTCACAAAACTTTAAAAGTTTTCAATTTAATCATTCAACTTTTGAATTACTCATGTTTTAATCATCATGATTTATTTTATTAATATTTATATATGATGTGGCATTTATTATTCTTGTTTTACTAATATATGATTAAAATAATATTAATTAAATTAAAAAAATATTCTCTATGCTTTATATATTTCCAAATCTCCACACTCCTCCTTTATCCTATCGTTTCATTTTTCTTCACTTTCAACAAAAGATTTGTTTTTTTTTCTTTCATTACACGGTCAAATATCTTATCCGTAGTTTGTTTTTCAATTTTTTTTACAAGTTCAATCTTGGTTCACTGAATCTGGTAATGAAAGAAAAAAGAAGAAGAAATCTTTGGTTGAAAAGAAAAAATGCCACATCACGCATAAATATTAAAAAAATAAATCATGATGATTAAAACATGAGTAATTCAAAAGTTGAGTGATTAAATTGACAACTTTTAAAGTTTAGTGACCAAAATAGAAGAGAAAAAATAGGACGACCAGATTGAGCGAAAAAAATATGATGTTGGCCAGCTTAACGTGCCATGTCAACCAAAATAATAGAGCAGTTGGTCAACGACGAAAAACATTAGTCAAAGAACCACATTGAGTTTTTTTCTAACTTGGAGGACCACATTGGGTATAAAAAAAAGTAGAGAACCACATTGGTTTTTTTTAAAGTGCAAGGGCTTCAAGTCCCTCAGATCCCATATTACCTAAAATAAATAAATTAACACACCATACAATATATACCTTAATCGTGATCTATATTTAATGATTACGAGCGCCTGTTAATATCTAACTTTAAATTTCAAAACGGAAATAAATAAGCAAACAACTAAATGAACAAAGTTTGGATCTAAAAAGTCGACATCAAATTCAACTCTAAAAGAAAAAAAGCAAAGAAAAGATGTGCTATAAAAGAAGACAAAGAAGTAGTACTATAAGAGTATATAAATCATCCACCATATTCATAAAAAAGAAAATTAAATAAATAAATAAATAATGTAACTCGTGTTAAAACGAAGGAGAGAGAAGGGGAAAAAAAACTCAAGGCCGACTAGTCAAGCTCCAACACAATTAATTCTACGGGAAAAAAAAATAAATCTATGGAAAAAATTCTTAATTATCAGTTTTGGAAGTCAATTTCATGTTCTGCTTCAATAAATATATGCAATAAATTAATCTAAAATTACGGTTGAAATTTATGTATTTATCAATATTTGAAATAACGTTTTAATATTTACAAAGTATAATGATCAAATTTTGATAAATTAAAATGAAAGTAACCAACTTCTCAATTTCATAAACAAACCATTAAAAATTATAGTTAGTGAGATATCTTGTGGGTTTAACTTAGGCTAACAATAATATAAAATAAATTAAAAACCGGAGTGGTGGGCATCTTGTAAAAGAATTACATAGCTACGACAAATGTTCAAGAGCTCACGAGCTGATGGAGAAAGGGAAGAAGCCTCTATTTTCTTGTCTACATAAAACGTTTTAACATTCATGAATCAGTAAAAACAAATACTTGTTAAATTAGTACAATTTTCTAAATGAAATATTAGCTGGGCTTTCCCATTACTGATATAAATTAGCTGACCTTATTCCCATATGTAATGGGTTAAGGGGAGGTAGGATAGTAGGCTGTCCCCAACGCCAGGTTGAGAACAGTTTCCGTGAAAGACCTCTGACAATCAGAATTATGAATTGCTCACCGTAGGACTCGATTCCACGACTACAAGGTTAAGAGCCTTGCGCTCTTACCAACTGAGCTGGACTGACAATTCTTTCCATTAGTGATATCATTTTCATATACTAATGGATAACAAGATTGTCTGTCCCTTTTCTTTAGAAAGCTATATAAGCCCCTATCCCTATACCCCTCCCCCCGAGCAACTATAGCTCGATTCAGAAATATTAAAAATGGTTCTTAAGAATATCCTATTTTCTGCATTTTTTCTGCTTCTTTTGTCACCTTGGGCCGCTGCTGTTTTGGCTAGTGATGCTGAGTATAATAACGATGAGAAGCCAAATCTTGAAAAAGAAAGGCTTCTCTCCACCGTGATTGGCATTCAAGGCATGGTTTATTGCAGATCAGGAAAGAAACTCGCCCCGCTCGGAGGTAAACTTGATTACCTAATCATGTAACAAAAGCTGCATATTTACCGTTTAAAATTTTGCTGAGATTCATGTTAGTATCTGTTTTACGAGTGTAGGTGCTGTGACGAGGATAACCTGCGAAGGCGTCGATGAGTACGGGTATGAAACCGAGTCATTTTCGATCCTGAGTTCTGCAACAGATGAAAAGGGCTATTTCTTTGCAACAATATCTCCTTACGAACTCGAAGATCATAACCGAAGGCTTAGAAATTGCAGGGTTTTCCTTGAACTCTCTCCCTCGGAGGCTTGCGGTGTTCCGACCGATGTCAACAAAGGCATTTCTGGTGCTCCTATTGGTACCTTCAGTCGCCTGCATGATAAGAACATCAAGCTGTTTACTGTTGGGCCTTTCTTCTTCGTTCCACGGCAAGAGGCTAAATCAATCCCCGATGGATATTGAAATAAATGATACAAGGAAATAATCGTTTTTGTTTAAGTTGTTAACTTTTGAACATGAAAATTGGGAATCATCGGCTAGCTTAAACGTATCAAGAAACATGAAGAGATCTGCCAAACTGTAACTGATTGAAGTGTAATCTCAATACCTCATACATATTATTTATATTGGAGATCTGAACAAGCAAGCTTGTTTATTTCAGCTTCCATTTCCTTAAGTTTGAATATTTTTGATAATTTCCAAAAATGTTTGTAGCTTTTGATTCCATTGTTTGCTTTAAGCTTGTCTATAAATCGGTATCCATCTTTTTCGATTTTTCCAAGAATTTCTTGAACTGCACTGACCTTGGGTTTTATTTGATGAAGTTTCTTGGTGGTTCTATATTTGGATTTTATTAGTGTCAATAAGTGAGACTCCTCCATTTGCTGGAATCTATCCAATATTGATTCCATGCTTTCAGTTCTCCATATTTCGAGTTCATTCGCTCTCGTCAATCCAACTTGATTTCAATTGATCGCCGCTACATCTAGTTATCTACTCCTCGTTGAAATAAATGATTAAAATCCATACCAAAACTGTGATTAATCTCTAGAAATTTTAAAATTCTTTTTATCCTCTATTACATTGCGATTTCATCATCTCAAATCTTGCAATTTCATCTTCGTCTGTAAGTTCTTCTATCCTCAAGAAACCAGATGTTAGAAAAGTACTGGTAGAGCGGGGTACATTGAAGAGGAACAATAATTTATGAGTAAATTATAAATTTAGTAAGGTTAAATTAATAATTTGATAGCTGAACTTTCACATGATTCCTATTTTACTCACCGTACTTTTAAAATTTTTAATTTGCTCATTGAACTTATAAATCAAACTTTTTGGTTGCTCCGTCATTAAATAATTAACGGTGTTATGACGTGAAAACTTATACCAAAACGATCATAGTTTTGGATCTCTAAAACATTTAAATTTTGACCAAAACGACATCATTTTGGTCTAAATAAAAAATTATATTTTCCCCTTAATTTCCCCACTTTTTTTTTTTTTATCTTTTTTTCCTTCTGCACCCTCTCATTTCCATTATCTCATTTCTATTTTCTCTAGTTGTGGAAGCTAAATCCGACAAAGACGACGACGACAACATGCAAGGAAAATCAAAAACGATATTTTGGTATTTTCATCCTCTTTATTTTTTCTCTTTCACTTCTTTATTATTCTTCTTCATCCTCTTTATTTTTTGGTATTTTTCATTTTTGGATTTGAGAGAGAGAACAAAACGATTTATTGTAATTGTTTGGTTCTTGGAACAAGTTTATAAGATATCAATTGGAGTTGCTTGTGGAATTTCATGGTTTCCTGATTAATTTGCATATTGGGTTAAAGTTTGGTATATGCTTTTGGGTGTAAAATTGGGAGTTAGGGTCAGGATTTTTTTACATGATTAATTTTTAATTTATTAAATATAAATCTTATGTAGCATCTTATGTTTAAATATTAAAATAAGCCACATCAACGAGTTGTTAGTGATATAACGACAGAGTGACCAAAAAAGTTCAATGTATAAAGTTCAGTGAGCAAATTGAAAAATTTGAAAGTACGATGAGTAAAATAGGAATCACATGAAAGTTCAGTTGTCAAATTTGTAATTTATTCATTTAGTAATTAAATTTTATTCTCTTTCATATTTCACTCACTATATTTTTATTTTTTTCAATTTAATCATTGAATTTTATATATTAATTTTTTTCACTCAACTGGTGTTATGATCGGCTACTATTAAATTATTTTATGGTTAAATTACACATTTAGTACCTAAAATATCAATTTTGGTGCATTTTAGTACCTAAACGTTCAATTTTTTTTTCAAAATCATACATAACATTTAGTTTTTGTTTCATTTTAATACATCACCATTAAAAGCTCCACCGCATTGTATTTTTTATAGGTAAATTACATCATTCATCACTCAACTATCTTCTCACTCCTATTTAATTTGGTACTAAAGTTTAAAAATTTTCAATTTAATTACTCAACTTTCAAATTGCTCATATTTTAATCACTCTAATTTATTGTTTTAATATTTTTTGTGACATGACATATTTTTATTATTATTTTATTAGTATATAATTAAAAATTAAAAATAAATTTGAAAGTTAGATTGATTAAATTAGGAGTAATTTGAAAGTTAAGTAATTAAATTAAAAAAATTAAACTTTAATGACTAAAATATGAGTGAGAAGATAGTTGAGTGGTGAATGATGCAATTTACCCATAAAAAGGTGTCAAATGCAAATCACTCGTTATGTTTTTAACATCAAGATGCTAAAACGAAGCAAAAACTAAACTTAGGTATGATTTTAAAAAAATTGAAAGTTTAGATATTAAAACAGACCAAAACTTATAGTTTAGATACTAAACACGTAATTTACCCTTATTTTATTAATTGTTAATGGTTAAAAAATAGAATAAATAAGATATTACCCTATCTCACCTAGGGTGCTTATCGAGTGAGTCGATCGCAAGTTGGCCATTGCTCGACTCATACTCGTTAAAAAATTTCGTTGCTCGACTCGATTCGTTGTTCGTTAAGCTCGTAGAAATTTTGCTCGACTCATGCTCGTTAAGAAAATTTATTGCTCGACTCGTTGCTTGTTAAGCTAGTTTCAATTTTGCTTAACTTGTGATCTTTAAGAAAATTTGTTGCTCAACTCATTGCTCGTTAAGCTCATTAAGCTTGTTGTTCGACTCGTTGCTTGTTAAGCTCGTTGCTCGTCTCGTTGCTCATTAACCTCAACAATTTTTTTACCTTTTAACTATAAGTAAAATCTACTAATACTATATAAAACTTAATATAAACATAAATTAATAAATTAAACCAGAAAATTATCGCAAGAGTGTATGAAACAAATTTTAAAATCTACACACTAAAATAACAATCCATATATATATTAAAATAATAACTAGGATTTGATTTTTATAATAATCATTATTCATTAATAATTTAATATTTTTAAATATTTATTAGAAAATTAATATATTAGTAATTTATCATTTTTTATTATTTGTTAGTAAATTAGTAGTTTTTTTAATGAAATAAAATTTTAAGATAACTACTAAAAAGTTATAAAAAAATTAATGAGTTGCTTGCGAACTTATAGAATCAAGTTGAACTTTGCTCAACTCAGTTCGTTAAGGTTTCGAGTCGAGTTTTTATCGAGTTTTGACCGAGTCGAGTTCGAGCTGCTCACACACCCTGAATCTCACTACACATCTTCTCCTTGTTAGGTATGGCTCATAAGTATATCGATAAAGAGGACATGAGATGGAGCGGAGTGAGCGAAGCGACCGCAGCGAACATCAACTGTCCTTACAAAGAAAGTCTCATAGTGGGGGTTACGATTATGTGGGTATAGGGTTATATTTGTAAATATGTACCAAAGTTTATCTATTATAAATAGAGATGTAACATAAACCTACGAGACATTGAATAAAACTTCTAGCGCTGCCTAGGCACCGAGGACGTAAGTACATTACTGAACCTCGTTAAAAATTCTCGTGTTCTTTTGTTTTTCTTTACCCGATTCTTCAACAATTGGTATCAGATGTCAGGAGAAAAATTTGAAGTTGCAAAATTTGATGGTCAGGGTAACTTCGGATTATGGAAAACAAGGGTGAAGGATGTGTTGGCGCAGCAAGGGATCCTGAAGACTTTGCGACCTACAAAGCCGGGGTCGATGGAGGAGAAAGATTGGGAAGAATTGCAGCAGCGAGCGGCAAAAACCATACGATTATGCTTGGAAGACGAGGTCATGTATCACGTGATGCATCTATCATCTCCAGATGAAATTTGGAGGAAGTTGGAAAGTCAGTTTATGTCAAAATCCTTAACGACTAAACTGTATCTAAAGCAGCGACTGTATGGGATGAAGATGCAGGACGATCAAGATTTGGTGCAACACGTGAATGTCTTCAATCAAATCATTTTTGATTTGGCTCGGCTTGATGTGAAAATTGAGGATGAAGACAAAGCGATGATTTTGTTGTGTTCGTTGCCTCCCTCTTACGAACATATGGTGACTACTATTACATATGGGAAATAGACTATCAAAGTTAAGGAGATTACTGCAGCCTTGTTGGCTCACAACCAGCGGAAGCAGAATGTAGAGGAAAGCTCTCAAGCTGATAGCTTATATGTCAAGGGTAATCGAGACCGTGGACGGAAGCCAGAGAAGACATGGTATGAGAAGCGGAATTTTAGATTCAAATCTAAGGATAAGAAGACAATTTATTGCTACAAGTGCAAGGAGCCGGGACATATGAAGCGAGACTATCCGAAGTTGAAAAACAGACTGATGAGAAGCGTGATGACTCATCCAAGTCTGTGATTGTGGTTGAGGATGACAATTCTGATTGCAGTGAGGGTGATATGCTCTCTATTTCAACTACTCAATTGACGAATGTTTGGATTCTTGATTCTGGATGTTCTTATCACATCACGCCAAATAGAGAATGGTTTTCGACATACAAGTCAGTTAATTCTGGTTCTGTCTATTTGGGTGATGATCGATGTTGCAATATTGTTGGTATTGGTGATGTTATAATTAAGATGTATGATGGCTCTGTTCGAACATTGAGCGGTGTTCGACATATCCCAGATTTGAAGAAGAATTTGATTTCTTTGGGCACTTTGCACAAGAATGGTTTTATCTCTAAGGTTTGTGAGGTTAGGGAAACCATTTGGATTATTAAAGGAGCTTTGCCTGTAATGAAAGGAAAGATGACTGCAGGGAATATTTGCAGATTGTTAGGGAGTACCGTTGTAGGTGGAGTTCATTCAGTTGAGTCCTGTGATGATATTACCAAACTGTGGCATATGCGTGTTTCTCATCTTAGTGAACGTGGTATGGCTGAATTACATAAAAAAATCTGTTGCATGGTGTTAAAAGCTGTAAGCTCGATTTTTGCAAGTATTGTGTTCTTGGTAAACAGACTAAAGTTCGTTTCAA